TATTGCTATCGTACTCTAGTGGTGTTTTAACTTTCTCCTGATTGAATGTTATCCTGAGCCTTTTGTTGGCATCTGAAAGAACAGGTCGCTTATGTATTCGACTTTCCAGACTCCGACGAAGGCGAAACCGCCGAAACGTTCGCCAATAAAGGATAGTTAAAATTTTGGTCCATTGCTTAAAAGAGCTACAGTCCGTAAGATAGAAGCAAAGCTTAGAAATTTACCAGATTTTCATTCAGAAATAAGAAATTTTATAAAAACCATAGCGGATACTTTGAGCGAGGATATGATAATTTATAATTTATATCAATAAATTTGCAGCTAGATGTGAACCACATGTAGCAAATATGCGTGTATTGGTTGAACACTGTAGCAAGTTTCAGCTCAAAAATAATTCTGTAAGTTATTGATCAATCTATAGTACATAATTTGATAAGCACTAAAGCTGAAGTTTACCAGTTCGAGTGTTTGACGACGAACCTATGAGCTTGATGAGATCGATGTCCTGAGTTTCCTGGAGCTCAGACTCTTCTTTTGCGAACAACAACAAGTGTAAGTGTATTGTTGTATCAGTCTGAAAACAACTGGCAGAAGGCTTTTAGCACTGCGTTTAAAAAAAGCACTTCCACATGTAGTCTCTCTGTGCTTTGGTCAGTGGTCACTCTCTGTGTTTTAAGCTCATATATCTATGAGTTTACAGCAATGCACAACAAGAAGATTTAAGCTTTTCAATGTACATTTGAAGTGATTCAACTCCAATAAGCAGGCAAACAGACTGTTGCTGGTCAAAATCTAACTACCTAAAACTTACCATTATTTTGGCATGCGTTGAAAACGTACAATGATGTGTTACTGTTCGTCAGCAGAAGGGGATCAACACAGTCGAAATTTCCTACTCATATACAATTTATTGAGTCGTGCTGTAAAATGTAGATTAGGAAGATGCAAAATTACTTCCTTGAAATATTGAGGTTTCACTCAACTTTCTTGGAAGTTACATGCAGATGTGCTCAGCTAACTCCTTTTCAAAACTTTTTATTATCCACTTCATTACAAACCAACACGAATTAGATTCTAAGGTGATTACACAGTACAAAATGGTGAAGTTACCATGCGATGGTAAAACACAAAGATCAACTGCAACAAAAGTTTTCAAAGAACAGCATTTTTATACATTAGAAAGAAAGAAGATTGATGAATGAGGTTTTTACAAAATGATTACACAAATAGGGTGACATAAAAGAGAAGACGTTTAAAACTGATATTCGGCATCGAATCCGCGTCCCCTTCGCCTTGTCCTTCCATTTCCATTAAATCTGCTGCTTGAGGGGAAACGATCCATCTACAGAAGATTGAGATAACTCAAAAAGGCCCATATTTCCATAAAACTTACGTCATCATCAACATCGTCATAAGACACAAATTGTCTATTAGGTCTTTTCCTGATGAACCGAACATTACTCTGAGCAGATCGTTGCACCTAAGAAACATACTGAATTCGAAGAAAAGCGAACCCTCAAATATTCGAAATGCAAAGTGACCGGTATGATCTTACCCTTGAACTCATCGCTTCATCAACGTAGACAACATTAGCTCTACGTGCTGCTGGTCTGCGATTTCCACTAGGATAAACAACGATATCACGATCAAGGAAAGCTCTGCTGGCCCTTGCTGGCTGCTGCACAATCACGCGGCTCCGCTGGCGTTGAAG